CTATAGAACTAGATAGGAGCGAGATAGAATAGGTCGATAATAAGTACGATTAGCTTATTAATAGTATACGTCGAGACTACGTAGAAGGCGCGACTCGGCGCTATTATATTAATACTTAGCCTAAATATCGTAGAGGTATTCGATAATATATTCTACGAGAAGTTACTAGGAATACTACGTATAAAGAAACTTTCGGACTAACTAGTTAATATCGTAGTAGACTTTCTTTAGGGGAGGCGTACGCGAATCGCGTACGCGAAGTATATAAGTAACTAAATCTAGATAAATATAGATATTCTATAAGGCTCTTCTTTATCGTCGCTCTTTCTTCTTTCCTATATTTTAGGACTACTAGAAACGCTATAGATATAGAATAATAATATTCTAGGATTCGGCTTCGTTAATAATATAAATATTATTACCTAGGACGTAAGCGAAGAGAATAACTATCGTAGACTAAGCGCCGCTTATACGTAGTATAAAAGATAAATAGATTATTATAGAATAAGATTCGTTCCGAATAAATATTAGCTTATTTACTTTATATATAAGCGAGAAGCGCGCGACGCGTATATATATAGTATCTATATTAGAAATTACGAAATTTAACTAGAGAAAAAAGCTATTCGAATTCTCGAAGTCTAGCTAGACTTAAAGCTCTTATAAAAGGAATATATTACGTAAGCGGTTCGTAAGGACCTCGTAGCCTCGAAAGCGCTATCTAGAATTATAATAATAATCTAGGGCTCCTTAGTAAGGAATATAAGGCTATTCTATATAGTAATAGTAAAGCTAATACTTCTATATAAGTTATAAGAGTAGAATACGCGAATCGCGATAAAAGTACTACTAAAGTCTAGACTTAAACTTCTTAAGAAAGTCTAGAATAGATACCTTCGTTAAATTATAAAGAACTATAAAAGAATATTAATCGCCGTCCTAGAAAAGGAAGCCTATATTTTCTTACTCGAGATCTATATTTAGGAGTATATAGTAAGAAGGCTTCTACGTACTAGGCGTAACTTAGTTAAGATACGTACGCGGAACGTAGTCGGAACGGTCTAGAGGTAGCTACGAAGCGAGACGACGACGAAGCTAGCTACGACGAAGGTAGTACTAAAGGCTAAGATTAACTATAATATTCGCGAGGCTAGAACGACTAGGGAACGCGCTCGCGGCTAATAAGTAAGATATAATTAAATAGAGCGCGGCTAGACCTAGATAGACGAGGCTATACTAGACTAAATAGCTAGAGATAGCTAGAAATAGAAATAGTAAGACCTAATAAAATAATCTAGAGAATTTCGCTAGCTCGCGACCTAGAGTATACTCTAGAAGTAGAATAAGCGTAAGCTATATATAGACTTAACGAAAGTAGAGGCGATAGCCCTTATACTTATATAGACGAAAGTTATCGGCCTTAATACCTAGCTAGCGTTAATATATGTCTCCGAAGTAGTAGCGCGCTACGACTACGGCTAGTATATATAGACGATATAGTATATTCTTTTATATTATCTACGATATAATAGAGTATAACTTCTACTATAATATAGTATAGAGAGACTCGACGAGATTTTCTCGAGGCTCGTATACGCGGCGTACGCGATATACTAGTTTATTACGAGTAAAGTTCTCGAGTAATTCTAAGTAGTAAAGGAGGTAAGAAAGAAGGATATAGAGATATTCGTATTCTTTAAGGATTACGAGTAGTAGTAGAAAGAAGGAGGAAGATAAAGAAAGAGAAAAACCTCTCTAGATTATAGGTAAAAAGTTATATAATTAACGACGGCGATAAGGAGGCGAAAAGCGTATAAGATATACGCTTCTAGCGATACGAGCCCTAGATTTTACTCTACGAAAGAAAGAGCCTTTTCCTATATAAGGTAAATCGTCTACGTAGTCTCGTAAGGAGATCTAAAATAGACGTTAATAGATAATATTATTATTATATAGGCTCGCGTTCTCGAGGCGCGCGAAGATATCGCGTACCGCCTACGAGAAGCGTACTATCTGTGTTTTGGACCGGGTAGCCTAGTAAGCCCTGGGCTACCGTGGGCTCGCAGCGCTAGGCTGCAATAGATGCTTATCATGAGCTTGCAGGGCAAACCTTAATTCCTATGGGCTCGCTGGGCTCAGCCTAAGTACTGTGGGCTCGCTGGGCTCGTACCTAAGTACTGTGGGCTTACACACTAACTTTACTATTTATAGAACTTTTCTATTTTATAATTATATAGACTATTCTTAATAGTACTAAATAGTAGACTTAGTATTAGTACTAGTAAATATATTATATAATATATATAGTAAATTTTACTAAAACTTCGATATTTTAAATTATTAAGTTATTAGCGTAGTTAGTTAATTAACTAGAGTACTAGCGAGTTAGCCGACCTTAGCGTAAACCTTAAACCTTAAATTTTTTAAAAAAATTAAAAATACGCTAAATTTACTAATATATCTATATATAAAAATTACCTAATTAGGAAATATAATAGTAGCTATAAGTTCTCATAGAATATAGAATAAGCGCTGAGTGGCCGTAGGTTCTCATAGAATATAGAATAAGCGCTAAGTGGCCGTAGGTTCTCATAGAATATAGAATAAGCGCTAAGTAGCCCTGGGCTCCCTAGGCTCCCATAGCAAATTGAGTTGCGCTGGGCTGCGGGCCAAAACACCGATGACGTTTTCCTTTTCTTTTTCTAGGTCCTTTACTAGCTAGTTAAGGTTATACCTTATTACTTACTATTCTCTATCTATTAGTCTATTCCGCTTCTATACGCGATTCCTAGTTATTACGCTTCGATTATTCTACTCCTAAGACGCGTTTAGGCGCGTAGTCGACTTACTAGCTATCTACCTACTAGTCGTACACTCCTAGGAGGATCCTAGAGTATCTTGGGCTATTTAGTATAATAGTAAGCTTTAGTTTACTCGATTATCGCTTAATTTTATACGTATTCGAGTTTCTTTTCCGGTATTTTATATTATATAACTATATCTTCTACTATATTATATAAATAGTAAGAAGTAATTACTAGATATTCTAGATTATAGTATTTATTTAGGCTAACTAGCCTTCGAGTTAATTATTTTAGTTCGCTAGAGTAGAATATTAGTTTTTCGACGTCGTCTTTAATACTTACCTAGTAATAGCTAGTAATAAATACTATAAAATAATACTTTAATACTACTAATTTACTATCTTTTTTAAAAACTAGAATATCGTTAAGATAGATATATACTATTCTCTATAGTCTTACCTTTTTATACTTATTTAACTACTATTATTATTCTTCTAATTAATTATTATTTTCTTCTTCCTTAAATAGAAAAGGAAATATATAGTCTATATAGTTATATATATAGCTATTTTCTTTATCTTTATATTAAGACTAAGCGATACCCTATAAACGCCTAGTTACGTAATTACGCTTATATAAGCTAGGATTACGTAGTATCCTTTAAGTAAGGCTATACTTAAGCCTTACGGAAGATTCTATAAAACGCTATTCTATTCTATAGGATTAGAAATTACTTAACTTAATTTCTAAGTATCCTAGGAGTTAACTCGTATTTACGAATACTCGGCTATTACTCTCGTACTTACGAGATATTACGAGGGAGCCTACGCCTATATAATATAGGCCTATACTCTTTTACTTAGATAAACCCTAAGTTATTTACTAAGATAGAAAACTACGATATATTTTACTCTTTTAACTTTAGCTACTTCCACTATTACTCTAGTTAAAATTAGTAATTATTATTAATAAGATATACGTTATAGTTTCTCGATATTTCTTCTAGTAGCATGGACACCTAGGAAGAATTATCTTTAAACCGTAACTAGATACTTTTTATCGCATAGATATTTAACGTCGAGACTCGATTGCGTAGCATCCAAGTGGGAGATAGCGATTAGAAGAATAAGCACTCCTCCTCCTTCAAAAATAATTCTCCACCATTTAGTAAGGGAGGAAAATTATAAGCTTGGTTGACGTTAAGGACTACAATAGAGTCATGCACCTTGCAAGTATATCACAACTATCTTTAAAGGGATGTCGATTATCCATTGCCAGCAACTACAAACATCACTAATATCTAGGTTAGTATCCGTGCGACAAGACTCTCGACTTCAATTGCCAAATTATTTTAATCTTGCGGTCTCCGAAATAAAGCACCTTTAGCTTCAACGGCCAGTGCCTAGATAATGTGCTTGTTGCAACGAATGCAGAGCTCCTAAACAACGCCCGCATCCCCAATGTCTGGTGGGGCAACTATTTATTAACAAGGGGGCCGGGAGGATCATAGATGTGCCGGCCTCTGAAATGCCTCTTGCAAAACTAGAGGTTGATTAATTTCTATTATAAATGGCCAACCGTTTCGAGGCTGCAATATGGAGGCAGGAAGTGTCAAATGCAAATCAGCAGTTGGTACTAGCTTGAATCCTCACGGGATGAGAGACCAGCCATAAATGTTGACCGTGCTGTGACCACCACTGATATGTGGTATTGTGATCTACTGTAAGCATTTCGATCTCGCGGAGCTAACTCCATTCTAGCTACAATAGACACCTCTTTGAGTGGTTAGCTTTTAGTGAAGTAATAACACCCGGAAGACATCAGCTTAAGGCAACTTAGGAATTTTAGGAACAAACTTCACCAGAATTTTTGCCTATATTTGATCTTTAGAAAGTCAAATGCGTAACCATGCCACTACGAGATATGTGAAGTTAACCTAGTATCGAGTGACCTGTCTCCTGGCCATCACGCCATACGTCTATTCTACGACTTTTCACAAAGGATTACCGCCAGCTCTCCTACTTCTTCCGACGAATAGACTAGAGAACAAAGACGTTAACCAACTTTTCAAAGTAATCAAGGCCGAACTGCTTCCTTCTCGTTTGGAAGATTGAAATACATACTTTAGGTTCTTCGACTGCTTCATATCCGGCGCAATACGTGTTGACGAAGGTTGGGTCTGCCGGACCGGGGTGTTTAGCCTAGTTTGATTGGAACGGCAGATTCGACCTCATCCATGTCGTCTTCGATAAGATCGAGAGATAGGGCTGCGATGTTGGATCTGAGATTCTCGACCTTGCGGCCACCAACGATTGGGAACACGTAAGGCGCCTCAACGTAGTCAGTATCTGATTCAGGATTGTGGGATCCTGGTGGGGGAAACTTCCAACCTTTGATGTGACATATCATAACGCGACGGCCATTGGGTTGCTATTTTTGTGCTTAGCCACCCGCTCCAAAACCTCAGTGGCGGCTTCGTATGCATCCAGGCCTTTTCCTGACGAGTCATAGACAAATCTTCTACCCTTCTCCTCCTTCTGAGCCCTAGTCTTGAATTTCCCACCACCTATGGCTTCCCAGACGGTAAGAGCCATGCCGTTTTCCTTCAGCATGGGAGTACTTCTCTTTCAATATCAAGTGCGACGACATTCAACAAGCCCTCATAGACAACAGATGGCGTCAAATTGTGCTGTCGTGCGACCTTGTCTGACGACTTCATCGAGCCCGTCCATCATTTCTGGAACGGTAGCCGCCCCATCTCAAGTGTGAATGTAGAAGATATCGACATAGTCTATCTTCATTCGCTTCAGACTCTCGTTCAACGAAAGACGAAGACTCTTCTTGTTGGAGCCACCAAAGTTGGAAAGAATAGTTTCCTCCGGGAAGATTTCGTGGACCTTGAAGGGGTAAGTGTATTTGGTAGCGATGACCATTTCGTCTCGGGTACCTCTATCTTTCATCCAATCGCCCAGCCATTCCTCAGACTCGCCCGCCATCTACATATTGGCAGTGTCGACGAAGTTGCCACCAGAGGCGCGGAATTCGTCCAGAATCTTGTATGTAGTTTCTTTGTCGAATGTTCCACTGACTGCACTCCTGGGAATCAATGAGCATAGGAAACCTAGCGAAAGACAAAGTGCCCCATTCTGCGCTGACGAAGTCGAGAACGTACCATATTTCTCCCGAAGTTCATGGCACCTAGGCAAAGCGGAGAGACCTTAAGAGAGCAATTTGGACCCAGAACTCGGTTAACACCGAGCTGGGTCTTTGGGGAAGGTACTGGTGAGCTGGCCATCTTGGCTGAGATCCACAAACCATTGGCTGGAAATGATGGTGCGATGACTCAAGTGGCAAGGATGTCAAAAAGGAACGTTTGTCAATCTGGGTACTTGAGTTGATAAGGGAATCGCCTTTGGGAAGCGATGTTGATTTGTGGTGGAGCCCTTGCGGTTCCTCACCCTCTTTGTGGTAGATCAGGGACAATGCGACACTATGTAGCAGACAACGATTGGACATAATGGCCATTTTGCATATGCAGGAAGATCCTGCTCATCCTTCGGAGCCGGGATTACATGCGGATCTGTTTAGTCAGACTTGATATCTCGTCGCACCAGCTCCCAGATCGCGGACCGCTTTGGCTCCATCATGGTTCAAGGGCGATTGTGGCATTTTTAGGCGCTGTCGAGTATACTATGAGCTTGTTGATCAAGTTCAAGAAATGATTCGTATGGATTATGACGCGTGCGCAGTTTCTTGGACAGTTATTGCCAGTTTCATCTCGTCTGATGGATGACTGTAGTACATTACGACTCTGGGCTATCCCGTCCTGCCGTTCGCACTCCAGCCATACATGAGTGGCGCTGGGTGTGATTTCCTAGTTATCGCATAATCTTCTTCGGTGATGTCTCGGAAAACAGTACTGAACAAAAAGCCAAGCTGTATTCATAGTTTTGGCGCTGGGGGTGATATGTACTACTACATCCTGGGATTCATGGACTATATTTGCCGAGGATGTAACGCATAAGCTGACACACTTCTTTTATCGTCAGTAGCGTTTGTCTATCTATCAAGGGTTGGGTGCATAGCTATGCGTAAGTGAAACCGGGTGATTTACCATTAAAGGAGAACGAGCAAGCACTTTCTATATTACAGGCCAGCAGCTGTATAATCTATTGTATCGGATCAAATTGGTTCTCTCTCTTAGTCCCACGACATGTCTCATGACTTCGCCATTAATCTTCATCTAGGCGCAACCTTCCGGACCTTTTTGTACTCTCAACTTTTTATAACACCGGCCTACCCAACCCATTCCTTCGCCGGCCAAACCGTCATCGTCACAGGTTCTAACGTGGGTCTTGGCTTAGAAGCGGCGCGTCATATTTACCGACTTGACGCCGCCAAATTGATCCTCGCCGTCCGCACCGTCAGTAAGGGCGAAGCGGCAAAAGAGGATATAATCCGCACCGTAAAACATCGTCCCGATGGCGCAGAGGCCATCGAAGTCTGGCCCTTGGACCTTACCAGCACCGAGTCCACCCTTTCCTTCGCCGACAAGGCCAAAAGCCTCCCCCGTCTTGATGTCGTGGCCGAGAATGCTGGGATTAGCATCTTCAAATGGAAGATGACCGAGGGATTTGAGGAGACCATACAGGTCAACGTCATCAATACCTTCCTCCTCGCCCTGTCGCTTCTGCCCAAGCTGAGAGAGACGAAGCAAAACTTTCCGGATGCCATCCCACGCCTAGAAATCGTCACTTCCGAATTGCACCACATAACGCGCGGCAAGGAGCTCAACGCCCCTGATGTCTATGCCAAGTTGAACGACAAGGAATCCTACGACGCTCTTGACCGGTACAATATCAGCAAGCTCCTCGAGGTCCTCTTCGTGCGCGAGTTGGCTTCGCGCCTTGGCAGTGATGAGCCCGTAATCATCACCCTAGTCAACCCCGGCCTGTGTCGCTCAGAAATCATTCGTGAAGCCCCCACATTGCTGAGTGTTATTTTTCGCGGCATCGTCCTTTTCATAGGGCGGACTACCGAAATCGGGTCTAGGACTCTAGTCCATGGCGCGTGCGCCGGCACCGAAAGCCACGGACAGTACATGGCAGACGGGAAATGCCAGGACGTCGAGGCATGGATCTACACCGATATTGGCAAGAAGGCCCAAGTTAAGGTCTTCGAGCAGACACTGAAGGTGCTGGAGGCCAGGAAGCCGGGCATCAGGAAATTGATCGGTCTCTGAGAGATTTCAGAGCTCTAGACCCTTACTCTCTCTTTAGCCGAGACACTACAATAACTGGATCGGGGCTTCTTATTATTGCGAACGCCATTCATTGACATAGTTCCCTCATTTGACTTTGCGATGCTGATAATTCATTTCCCTCTGTGATGAGCTTTTACTGCCCGGGCAATGGCCTTTATCGTTACGCTCTGCCAAAGAGAGCTCCAACTGCGTCAACAAAAAGAATCCCATCATAGGAGGCCACAGGCTTCTCTCACTTACGCAAGCCGTTGGACGATTGAGTTCGCAAGGTATTTGCGATTATGCATTTACTATTCTAGCTTACTTACGGTAGTTTGATACTTATGTAATAGACTAGATACAGTCCGCAGCTGAAGTTCTGTATCCGCCCTGGACTAACTGAAAGTTACTACTCTCACAAGAATACCGAGTGGCTAGATATTACATTTTTACAAAAAATCACAGTTCTCGGATGCTGCTAATGGTGTTGGCGTCTCGTCCTTGTCTTTTGTTGTTACATCTGTATCACAGGTCAGCATCTATTGATCTCTGAGCCGAATATCTATCTAGGCGAGCGGTAAGACGCATAGACTTGCGTGATACTGGTGACAGTTTGTACTACCCCAAACACGACGGTGAGGCCAAAAACGATGAGTGCAATCATGAGCGTTGCCCACTCAGATCTTTGCCGCTGGCCGTACCACCATTTCTGAAGTCGATGAGGCATGGCTAAATCGTATCTTCTCTGTATCTCTGCAAGCCTGGTTCCATAAAACTTATAACTAGTTATCTTGTATTGCTCGTACTCCTCCATTGCCTACGCTAAATCCAACGGCGCTTCAATATTAACATGCTCCTTTTGGTATATGCGTCTTACGCGCTTTGATGTCTTTAGGTCTTCAAAGGGAAAGTGGAGATAAATTGTTGATCAGTTTCTTCTAGAAACCCGTCCGGATATAGGTGTCTGTATAAGTTGTCAGCAATTTCTCAGGACTTCCGTAACTTCGATCGAAGCAAAAGTCAAATGTTGAGAAAGGTCGCTGGTCCAGACTAAATAGAAACCACTTTTTCTCGTGAGGCTTTTGGCCGAGAAGTCTGTAGAGAGAAGCCTGACATCGGCAGCTGATGGGTTCTGAATAGTCCTGCTGGGCTCGCAATGTCTTTTGTTTGCATCAGCAAGGGTCTGCGATGGATCGTCCGTTGGTAAGTTCGAGAAGAGCCACAATCTGAGGGCGACACGGAGTAAGTAAATGTAGCTTCCATATCGACTGTAGCTTTTGACGGCTTCGAGCACGCTTGTTGTATGGCAAATGTCGCATCAGCGATTGGCAGCGATCGACAGGTTTTCATTAACTGGAAATCTCAATGACTTCAAAGGTTCATTCTAGAGCATTGGTCGATTGCCACAGCAAATTCCACGAGGGAACCTTCATCCGGGAATGTATCGGGAGAGCTATTTCGGAGAGCTATTTCTCGGGAGCTCTAAATACTAAGATATACCTTGGCATGCCAAGGGAGTCTATTTTAGGCGTAATTCTTACCGCACAGCCATCTCTTTCCATCGTACAGCATCGCTAGTTATATTCTTATATCGATACCTCGTCGTCGACTTTTTATATAGCTAAATTTAGTGTTTATAACTCCTCCTCTTTACTAGTATTAAAATAACCTCCTCTTTACCTTAGATTACGCCCCTAGGCTACTTTAATTATTATAGAGGCCTTATCGAGCGTTATATTAACGCTTAGCCCGTAAACTAGCGCTAGGATTCGGTTCCAGGAGAGGTTTTCGTTAATAAAAGCGAAGTAGAGGCTCGTTTAAGGGTTTTTACGTTAATAAAAGGCTTCGATATCGTTCGTAAGTATAAGGGTTTCAATAGGAGCTTATTTAACTACTATAGGACCTATCTAATAAGGACTTTAAGCTAAAGGAAAGAGAGAAAGAAGTCCTACCGCTATCTATAGGGAGATATAATCTCCTAGGGTAGGTCGCCCGGTATTCTAGGTAACTATAAGTATTACGTAATATCGTCCGGCTATATAACTATACGGTCGAATCTAGGTATCGCTAGTTTAGTCTTAGCGTCGCTCGCTAAGATATCTATTAATATTACGTAATATCGTTCGGCTATATAACTATACGGTCGAATCTAGACGTCGCTAGTCCTTACTAAGACATCCTACGGGTTTAACCCGTAATATTATTCTTCTCTCCTCGTCCGAAGCTAGTCTTATTTTAGTATAGAAGCTTTATATATCTTTAAAGCGATTATATCCTTAAGGGTCGAGCGTAGTTCCTATATTAGCTATATATACCCTAACTATTTAACTAGTACTTTAGGTCGTATACTTCGACTACGTCGTACTATTCGTTCGTCTAGAATTCTCTCGACGCCGAACTTATTTTCTTCTTCTACGCGAATTAGTTTCGATTATTCATCGTCTCGTATTTACGACTCTAGGGGATTCGTCGCGACTACGCGTAGAAGGTCGACGTAGAAGACGTTATAAATACTTAATAGAATATCTAGCCGATAGCTATAAGTATCGATAGATTCTAATAATATATACTTAGCGTTTTTCTAGTCTAGTTTCTTTAATCGTCGAGTCGTATATTATAAGGGTTTAGCTAGGAATTTAGAGTAATTTATCTAACTACCGTATAACGAGGATTCTAAAGCTAAGGAGAGAAAAGAAAAGAGAAAATCTATCTACTATACGAATAAAGGAAATACTTCCTATTCTCTCCTATAGTAGATTAGTATAGTTTCCTAGGAGATAATCGATAGGAAGGAGTTACGTAGCTTCGGCTATATAGTTATATAGACTAAAGGTATACTATAAGTAATCGCTCTAGAGAGTACTCTAGAGCTTTATACGAGTTTAACTCGTAATATCTTCGTTCTATATAACGATAGAATTCGGTTAAGTATCGTCGATAACTTACGAAGGTAATAGATTCGTAGATATTATACGTAATAGATTCGAATAAAATACGTTATAAATTCCTTTTAGTATATTAAGACGATAGCTATATAATTCGATAACTTTAATTACGATATACTTCGTATTCTTTTAATTAAGCTTCTTATTCTTTTACGTTAAACGTACGTTTCTTAAGTTAAGCTAGACCTTATCGTCTATATAAAACTCTATTAACTATTATCTTATACGATTTATAATTTCTTCTTACTCTTATTAAGTAACGACTATAGAAGTCTAAGCTTATTCTCTCGCCTTCTAGAGTTTTCGTATAATCTCTTCGCTCTATCGTATTAGGCTATTTCCTTCTTTATCTTCGCGAAGCTTATCTTATAGTTATACGAAGTCGATATTATATTCGTAAGCTAGGAAGAAAGGGCTTACGCTAATCGATTAGGCGTTCCTATTATTAATTACTAACTTAGTAATTAGTAGTAATTCTACCTAATTATCTTAAGCTTCGTTTACGAATATATATACGTACGTTTCGATTATTTAATTTATTCGTTTCGTAGATTCGTTCGTTTTAAAGTAATATATAGTAGATAATCGACGTATAATACTTAGTAGCTAATATATTCGTTTCTATAGAGCGCTTACGAACTAGATTTCTCTATTCGATACGATAGCTCTCGATAAATTATAGATTCTATAGAATATATATAGAAATAGAAATACTATATCTTAAGACTTAATTATATATATCGATTTAAGAATAATTCCTTTTTCTAGTCGATTCGTAATTACCGCTAAATTCGTATAGCTCCGACTCTTTAAGAGCTTCGTAATAAAGTCGATAGATATTTCGCTCTATATTTAGTTCGATACGAAGAAAGGTTTTAAAAATTCTTATTTCCTTTTCCTCTAGACTTTTATTTATTTATAAGTATCGTAGTTTCGTACGAATTATTAAATATTCTATAGTATATTTAGCTAGAAGAATTATCTTACTATTAAAGAATTTATTATCTTTCGTTCGAAGTATTCGCTAATTATTAAGTTATAGATTTCCTAAATTAGAAATATATATAAAGATTTTAAGTTCGAAATCTATAGTCTTCTACGAAAGCGTATATTTTCTTAACTATTAATTATATATTTAGTAATAGATACTTTTATGGCTAGAAAAGATAGAAACTTTAATACTCCTCGAGTAATTAAATTTCTAATCTACTTATATATTTCGTTCGACTCTACTATCGTAAACTAGTTAGTATTAACTACGTTATTTACTAGTTAGTCTTCGATAGGAGATTCCTCTACTCGTATAAAAGCTACTTAAATCGCTTCTTTCGCGTCGAAGAATTTCGACTTTAATAGTTTCGTTATATAATACTATAGTCGATTATCCTTCTCTTCTTTCGATATATTTTATTTCCTTCGCGATAATATATCGACCTATACATTATTCTTTTTTCTAAAGTAGAAGATCGTAAAGTTATATTATAAAAAGATAAGAGACTATTATATTTACTTCTTCGTAAGCTTTTATATAATTATAAAGTACTCTAGATTCTTATAATTTAATTATATCTTAAACTTATTTATACTTCTTAACTTAATATTCTATTCTTTAAAATAATATATAATAACTAGTATTTCTTTATTATATATTTTATAGTTATATTCCGCGAATAAATTCTTTTTTAAAAAAAATATATAGAGTTATACGAAATCTTCTTTTCCTACCTAGAATAAAGTATCGCCTATATACTATTTAGAAGTATTAACTTCTAGAAATATTTCTTTTATATAGTTAAATAGAATAAAAATCGAAGCTATTATAAATATCTTCTTTAGTCGTATAAACGCTATATCGACTTTCGAATCTTAATAGAAAGTCGAATTCTTTCGTATAAGTTTTATAATTAGTAGAATTATTTTTAAGAAACTCTTAATAAACTTTCGATAGAAGTTTACGAAATTAATAAAATTCTAGATATTCTTAATAGACTTAGATACTTACTATTCTTAAATTACGATAACCTTTACTAGATCTATTTATATATATTATTCCGC